TCCATCTTTCAAGATTGTTGTATGGAGAAATCGGTAGAGCATATATAAAGCATTTTTCACAGGCTTAGTGAAGTTAAGTACTCAAAAAATATTAGCATGTGGCTGCTGTAGAATTACTACCTTAGTGGTGGCGGCAGACTGTCTCAGTAATAGTACCAATAGTAGCCGCAGGAGTGGTGATGGTAGTGGCCATGGTGGGAGTGGTGATAACAGCAGTAACCGCAGTATCCATAATGTTTAATGTAGTAGCAGTGTAGTGGTAGTGGAGTAACATCCTCACACCCTTCAGAAGTATATAGTATTAATTTACCTCTGAAATGAAACAAAAATCAAATCAATTTTGAAATGACTTTTAAAACAAGACAAAATAGTAAATAACTTCTTGTAATTCATTCTGCTCTAGGGTCTGGCCAAAGCAATGCTGTGTATTTTGTCTCTAGAGAAGCACTTGCCCTGTAAACTTAATAGTTCACCCTGAGGCAGTGGAGCCACAGGTCAGGGAAATTGGAGGAGAGAGCCAGGCATTAATTGCTTGCTCACAAAATCTCCAGGCAGTTTGCAACCAGGGAGCAGACTCTTGGCATCCAAATGGAATTGCCTAAGAGAGTAGCATACCAAAAACAGGAGAGAGCTGATTTATTTAGTAACATTTGGGAACCATTTATAGAAATTGTGCCCATTTGTAGTGCTTGGGGCTGCAGACCGAAATGACTTACCTTTAGTCTTCCCCATCCTGAATGAATGGGGGATGGAAGATCAGTGGCTGCAAGAAAGAAATGCTCCCTCTTACCATCAGGACTTTTCATAAATGTATCAAGCTTTACACAGTTCTTTCCCATTATTTAGTGTGCTATTTGGGAAAAAATAAAATTGAAACAATCTTGAACAATATTTGTTGGGTATCAGGCAGTTTCTAGGCAGAAATGGATCACACAGTTTATCTGTGAGAAGTGTGATAAATAGCTAATGTGTAATAAGCTTTTACCATGGATTATGTCATTTAGATTTTTCAAAAATCCTATAAAGTAGATATATTTATTATCTCACTTTTACAGATCAAGTAACTGAGGTACAAAGGTTGACACGGCCAGGATAGAGGAGGAACAAATTCTTTTTCCTACCACTCTGGTAGGTTCTCCAGCTGGGACCCTGTGTATTGGAATGATGGAAGACAAATCAACAAAAGAAAAGCATACATATTTAGTTAATGGGAGTTTTACATGGGACAGGAGCCTTCATAAGGAAATGAAGACCTCAAGAAACATTAACCATGAGTGCTTTTATGCTAGGTCTGATGAGTGAAAGTTATGGAAAAACATGACAGGACAAAAGGGTGGAATAAGCTGAAGGTAGCAAATGGGGGAAGCTTAGGAAGGCCTGTCCTTCCCATTCCTCTCAAAGTCCCTCTGTCTTCAAAGATAAGGATGCTCTTTTCCTCTGGCATAGGGTGGGCACCTATCACATGAGGGGCTTACAACTTGCTCCTGGAGGAGGTTGGAGGGTCCTTCCTGCACTTGCCCTTCCTCAAGTTCCTTCAGTTTAGGTATTCAGTATGCCAAGGTACCGTATTTTGGGGTAGGGTGTTCTGCACCTCATCAGATGCTCTCTGAGCCTGATAGGTAAGATGAATGGCTTACAACTAACAATGTAGGTAGGTCGCAGGGAAGGCAGTACAGCACGGAGAAGACAACTAATGACTCTATAGCATCTTACTATGCTGATGAACAGTGACTGCAATGAGGGGGAGGGGAGCTTTCAAAGTGTACAGATTGCTGGACCCAAACCTAAGAACTCTGATTCAGTAGCTTCTGGGTGCATCCCAGGGCATCCATGTGCTTCATAACCTCCACCACAGATTCTGATCTGTGCCGCCCTGTCTGCTTATGAGATTCAAGCAGTTATCCTCTCTCTAGCTACTTCCTCTTGGTTCCATAGCTGGCACCTGATATGAGAAGCTGCTGAGGTGGCAGTAGCAGAACATCTTTAAGAGAAAGCGCAAGTAAATCACGTGTGTCAAACGGGACTACTTACACTAGCCAAACCCTCCGTGTCAGCATATGGGTAAAATGTGCAGTGGAAGCAGCTCAATTCCTAAACTCGTTCAGCAAGATGGAAGTTAGCTAAGGAGCGCCACTTACAGAAAGTCCTAAATCTGCTGGAACATCAAAAAAAAATTTGGTCACCAGAATAGAATTTGGATCTGAAAGCTTACCCCAACTATTGGGATCATTTTCTTAGGAGAGGTTCTTACTACATTTCTATTTTCTTTATACACAATCCATTGAAAAGCCTCTGAGTTTCTTTCCATAAACGCAACGAAATTTTTTAAAGCCTTTTTGTTTATTGCTAGCAACGATCAATTTGATCATGAAAGTGGCTTATAAAATGTGGTACATGTTACAGTTGCCTTTGTTTTTCCTTAAATATTTCTGTGGTTATCCATGAAATATGAGACTAGTCATACTTAACATTTAGTGAGGGCTTACTCTACCCTGCACCATCCTACTTGATTTATATATATATATATATATACACATACACACAGCCCCATTGAGTTCTCTGAGTAATTGCATATGGTAAATACTGTTCTCAGGTCCCTTTATGTGATGAGGAAGCTGTGCTTAGTGGTTGTGTCCCATCCCTGCCAAGGAGTGGAGATGGGATGTGCATCCAACAGACTGATACCAACTCTTCCTCTTTGATATTTAGATCAGTATTTTCCAGAGTATGAATTTTGAAAAGTTAATTGCACAGAATATTAGTAAGTGATTTGTGAAAGGAAAAAGAAGCCTGACTTAACAAGGTTGAGGAATATTGGACTAAAAACATGGGTTTCTTGCAGGTATGATTTCTGAGTCTCTAAAAGCTCATGTGCTTTACAGATTTATAAGGCAAATGCAGAATGTAACATTTCCCAAACCTCCTTGAACACAAAGGTCTGGTCAAGTCCCTTTACACCACTGTTCTGCAAAACTAGATCTATGAAATGATGGTGTGCAGATATCAGTCATCTGCAAGTCAGTTGTCTGCAAAATGATTTACCTCTCTGCCCACTAAGGCCAAGCTCTTACTTCCCTTTTACAGGGATGAGAGGAAGGTCTGATAGGTGAGAGGCCAACAGTAAGTTGCCACTATGTACCTGTGTTCTTTACTTCATAAAAGATCATTCAAGTCAATTGTTGATACCTTTCTGGGAAATCATCTAGCCATATATATGAAAAGCCCTTTGGCCTTGGGGTGTTCAGTATAAGCCCCTGGGGTAGGAAGAAAAAACATGCAAAAAATTATAAATATTACAAATACAATAGATCTAAGAATATTGTTTGACATGACATATATTACATATATATTTATACATTATAAATGTAATACATATAAATTAAATATATAATAATTGAAGTAACATGTATATAATTTATAAATAACTTAGTCTATATTTATATTGGGGACAGTTTGTAATAATATTGAGGAGTTAACGTAGCCATTCATATGAAAAACCTTTAATTTCTTCATATTCTTTGACCCAAAAATTTCACTTCTTGAAATGTATTCAGTTTATCCTAAGGAAATAACCTATGTGTGTACAAGTATCTGCCTTACAGGAATGTTTATTGAAGAACTGCTTGTGTTTGTTAGAATTGGAAATAGTCCAAATATCCAGCAGTTGGGAATTGGTTACATAAATTATAGTACATCAATATAAAGAATATTAACAGGGAACTATTAAAAATTTTGTAGTCCCAGAATACACAATAGCCTAGAAAATAAATCTTAATTTTGTAAGAAAAAAAATGACAAAATATTATTGAGTTTCATATGCCTTATAGAAAAGGACTGGAATGTTAAACCAAAATGTTAATAGTGGTAGTAGCTCTTAGTGATAAGGGGAAGTTTTTATTTTCTTTATGCTTCCCTGCATTATCCTAAATTTATACAATTAGTGTATATTTTTGAATAAGCATTAGATCCATAAAGTTTAAAATTTGGCAATTATAAAAGTACAGACAATAATAAAGTCTTTTTCCTTGCCCTGTCTCCCAGACAATCTCTCTGTCTAAAAGTATTCAAGATTATTGGTTTCTTGTGTATCTTCCTAAGGGTCTGTTATATTAATAAAATTTGTTTAAATATGAATTTTCTTTTTTACTCTTTATCACAAAGATCAGCATACAAGACACAGGTTTGTTAGACTTTGCTGTGCTGAATAATCTGTGCACCTGTCACTTCCCCCACATGGGACTGTATCTGTAGGATACATTCCTGAAAGTGGAATTGCTGTGTCAAAGGAAATGTACATTTGTCATTTTGATAAATATTGTCATATTGCCCCCTGAGAGTATGAAAAAATGCTTTCACGGTTTCTTCCAGTACTTTAATAGTTTGGGTTTCTTTACATTTCAATTTAAATCCATTTTAATTTATCCTGGCTTAATCAATACTTAATGAGAAGAACAAATGATTTAAAATATTAAACTCCTCACTCATAGTGGAAATTCAAGTGCTGGTTGTCCCCACCTGGTACATCACAGGATCTAGATGCAAACAAGGACAGCTTGGAAAGGTTCAGCTTACTCAGTGGATGAGTAACAAAGCCAGACTACGGCTCTGCTGTGTGCGGGTTTATTTGCTTCCCGAGTCACATCGTAGTGAAGAGGTAAGCCCTGAGAGCCTGATTTCCATCTTCAAATGAATTTTTCACTAGAACTCAAGTTGGTGGTTGGGTTTTCCTTCCAAAATATTGTAAGTTGATTTATTCATTTAAATAAAAAAAGAAGGGGTCTCCACTGTAGTATTGTGGTATGTATGGCTGCATGAATTTGTCTATGACAATGGGAGAGTATACAGGAAGAGAGCTACTTTAATTTCTGCAGACATGTTACTCACTGGGGAACCTAAGCAGCTGTACTGAAATGTCAGATGGATTTGCACAGCTGACTCAAGTTGCCAGAAAGAGAGCAGCATAGTCGCCCCATAAACTGACCCTGTCCAGCCAAGCCTTGCTTAATATAGATCCGGCATGAGCTTTGCTGCAGTCACTTCCAGCCGCTCAGTGAGCACCACTGGGTTCTGGGGGAAAATTCTCTCAAGGCAGTGTTGAACCAGGGACGCCTGTTACCTGCAGGACTTTCTTGAGAGTTTCTCTAATCAGCTTTGATTATTTCTCCTTTTCTTGTACGATAGAAAAATATAGAAAAGAATCATGTCTGAACACAGCAAGAATTCAGATGAGGAGATCTTTGATGGGGACATTGATGAAGATGAAATCTTGGCCAACTTATCCCCTGAAGAACTAAGAAAACTACAGTCAGAAGTGGAAGTCATGGCCCCTGACCCCAGGCTTCCCGTGGGAATGATTCAGAAGGATCAAACCAACAAGCCACCAACAGGAGACTTTGACCATAAATCTCTTATTGATTATATGTATTGGCAGAAGGCATCCAGACGCATGCTGGAAGATGAACGTGTTCCTGTCACCTTTGCACCATCTGAGGTAACCAGGGATTCATGTACAACAGAGAAATGGCTGCATGGCTGGCAGGTGTCCCTGTTGTAGCTGCCATTTCTCAGGACACTTGTTTTGTCTGAGAGATTAAATCATGGTATTTTTGTTTTGTTGCCACTTAAAGATTAAGTCATGATGTTTAATCCTATGCCAGGCTGGAAGTTTCTGAAATACTTTCATGGTATAGTTGGGATGGAAAAGTAGAAATTTCTTTTAAATGTCTCTTTTTAAAGAAAAATTGCTGTGGAGTTTGCTGTGTAGGAAAGCCTGTATTCTTCCCTACATAATGAATTAACTTAAAATCAGAATTCATAATGATACATAATGAATTAACTTTACAACCCAGAGGATTTGTCCTTAACTCCTCATTTGTTTTTTTGTGTGTTTTTTTTGGCTCACAGGCCCCCTTAAGAAGCTGTTAAAAGCTCTGTACCCTCCCCTTCCAGGGTACATAAGCATGCATATGTATGCAATGCTTCACATAAATTGTTATGGTATCACAGTCCCCCTGAAGTCTAGCCACTCACCCTGCAAGTAAAGTCAAATAGTCGAAATATCCAGTATTACCACAGTGTATTGGGCATCAGTGATAAATTTAGAAATTGATAGTAACCAAGCTGTTCTAAAGATAGTTCTTTCTTAAATATATTTTTATATGAAAACTAGACTTGTGCCTGAATCTGTGAATTTACTGTGTATTAGCATAATTTTTTTTAATGTTCCACTTAAAAGTGACTTAGCAGAAAGGAGATTCCCCACTCCAAGTGAAGCGTCCTTTAGTTTTGCCTGCTGATAGAAATACATCTTGTCACATTACTGTCACACTGGCTACACCTAAGGAGAGCTATAAATGGTTTCATGAGCAGGAGAGTATGTTTACACATGTACTGAACTCAAGGAAATAAATTGCTGACTTGACCAGGAGGAGTTTAAGGTGTAATTTGCAAACATTTTACGACTGAAATAAAAGCCAATTCTATATGAATGCCAATTTCTGAGAAAGAAAATTGGGTACTTTAAAAATTATTTCTACCTTGGTATAATTTAAACAGCTTGATGGTTGGCTCCCCCTGCTGGGACAGATGAGAAAAGCAACGGTAAAGGCTTTAGGTGCTTACCATGACTGTGGTGCCCGTTCCAGTGTGTAAAATGTTACGAGAAATAGATGAAGCATTTACCCAGGGTAATCTGGGTCTCAGACTGATACATTAGTTTGCAAAGTGACACTTGTCAGGTACACATGTTGTGTAGGAAAGCATTCTAATTGATGGGCAAGAATCTAATAAACTGCATTTTCCTTCCCAGCGTAAACAGCTGTTTCTAAATGTCTGCATAATCCTCTCCCCTTTTGTAGCTGCTTCTGCCTCCTAGACACTTTCCTCCAAAAGGAGGCGAAGTACTGAGGCTTTCCTTAGAGTAGCTGGGGCAGTTGTCACAAAGCTGAGAAGATAAATCAAAGTCAAGGTTTTTGATATATTCCAAAATATCAAGCTGCTCTCAGTTTCCCCACAATATGTTAAGTTTTCAGGGAAACTTGATGTACACCTTATACCAGATTAGCAAGCATTTTAGGAATGTAAATTTTGTTTAGGACAATAAGGAAATTATTGTGTAATCCAGAGTTACTGAGTACAAAGATGCCTATTCAACTATATACAAAAAAAAAAATCCAATGTATTGATAGATAACTCTATAAGGTTTTCAAAACAAATAATTTTTTAACTGCTTCTGGAATTGACCCCCATTTTTTAAATTTAAGTATCATTGATATACAATCTTATGAAGGTTTTACATGAACAACATTGTGGTTTCAGCATTCACCCATATTATCAAGTCCTCACCCCCACCCCCACATTGCAGTCACTGTCTTAACAGCGTAGTAAGATGCTATAGTCGTTACTTGTCTTCTCCGTGCTGTACTGCCTCCCCCATGACCTACCTATATTGTTGCAGATTATAGTGCCCCTTAATCCCCTTTTCCCTCCCTCCCCACTCACCCTCCTTAACTCTCCCCTTTGGTAACCGCTAGTCCCTTCTTGGAGTCTGTGAGTCTGATTTGAGCCCCATTTTCAAAATCAATACAGAATCTGGAAACAAAATTAACTATGTTTCATTTTAATGACATGCAATGAGGTAAATATAGCCAAAAAAATCTGTATGTGTATGCCTATAAAAGTTAATCTTTATTTTGATTGTATTTGCTCACAAAATATGTGTACTTTGAGCTTTTTTTTAACACTCTAAAATTACATAATGTAAAAAGTGAAGTCCCCCAAAAGCTCCTCTCCACAGTTATCTTAACTGTTACCACTCTTCCTAAGAGAATTCTATATAGTTTCTTTGCTTCCTTTTTTCTCCCCAATAATAAATCCTTCTATCTCCAGAAGCTATTGCTGTACTTCATATTCCCCACTGCTATGTATTCTAACCCTCATAAACCTCTCTTTTAGGGAGACACTGAAGAGCAGCATGAAGAAATAGACAAAGGTAGTAAAAATGTGCCCCAGTATTTAAAAGAAAAGCTCAATAATGAAATCATTGCAAGTAAAAGAGAATCAAAGGGCAGCCCTGATGCCCAAGAAACAGATGATGATGATGAAGAAGATGATGATGATGATGATGAAGATGAAGAAGATGAAGATGGAGAAGATGAAGATGACAGTGATGACGATGATAGTGAAGAGAGTAATGAAAAAACAAAAAGAGCCGAGGACGGTGAAGTAAAGGAACAAATCAGAAATGGTGAGAGCAACTGCCAACCAGTAACTAAGAAAGCATTTGAAGGACAGAAAGACATACCAGAGACCCAAGAAAAAAGTGAGAAAAAAATATCAAAATTAGATCCTAAGAAGTTAGCTCTAGATACCAGTTTTTTGAAGGTAAGTGCAAGGCCGTCAGGAAACCAGACAGACCTGGATGGGAGCTTGAGGCGAGTTAGACAAAATGATCCTGACATGAAGGAACTCAACCTGAACAACATTGAAAACATCCCCAAGGAAATGTTACTAGACTTTGTCAATGCAATGAAGAAAAACAAACACATCAAAACCTTCAGTTTAGCCAACGTGGGTGCAGATGAGACTATAGCGTTTGCCCTGGCAAACATGTTGCGTGAAAATAGGAGTATTACCACTCTCAACATTGAGTCCAATTTCATCACAGGTAAAGGAATTGTGGCCATCATGAGGTGTCTCCAGTTTAATGAGACACTAACTGAACTTCGGTTTCACAATCAAAGACACATGTTGGGCCACCAGGCTGAAATGGAAATATCCAGGCTCTTGAAGGCAAATAACACTCTCCTGAAGATGGGCTACCATTTTGAGCTTCCAGGTCCTAGAATGGTGGTAACCAATCTGCTCACCAGGAATCAGGATAAACAAAGACAGAAAAGACAAGAAGAACAAAAACAGCAGCAACTCAAGGAGCAGAGAAGGCTAATAGCCATGTTGGAGAACGGGTTGGGGCTGCCGCCTGGGATGTGGGAGATGTTGGGTGGACCAATGCCCGATTCCAGAATGCAAGAATTCCTCCAGCCTCCCCCTCCACCTCCCAACCCCCAAGCGGGCCCCTTCCGTCAACGGAATGAGATGATGAAGAAGCCATCACAGCCTCCACAGTACAGGACAGACCCTGACTCTTTCCGGGTGGTGAAGCTGAAGAGGATCCAGCGCAAATCTCGGATGCCGGAAGCCAGAGAACCACCGGAGAAAACCAACCTCAAAGATGTGATCAGAACACTCAAACCGGTGCCGAGAAATAGGCCGCCGCCCTTGGTGGAAATCTCCCCCAGAGATCAGCTCTTGAATGATATTCGTCACAGCAACGTCGCCTATCTTAAACCTGTAAGTAAAAGAGCAGTGGCAAGCAAGCCCCACAGTAATGTATCTCAACCCTGTGCTCTGTTCCTCTGAACACAAGGAGATTCTCGCTAACGGGGGGGTAACTGGAGGAAGCCTATCTGCATTACCAGTAGATCTGAATTGACAGTTATCCCCAAGCACACACATCTACATAACTTCTGTAACAGTGATATTAACAGCTAACATTTATTGAGCACTTATTACAGGCCAGGCTCATTATATGAATTAGCCCATCATCTGAACAATCTATAAGGTAGCTATTATTTTTCTTCTGATTTTATAAGAAGATACAGCTAGGAAGCCATAGAGCTGACACTGAAATGCAAGTCTGAGTCCAGGGTCAAGTTTTTATTCACCCCAGCCACACAGAGCTAACAATCCTGAGGAGCCTGCAGTAGGTATAAGTAAGAATGAAGCCTAATTTAGTTAGACCAGTTGTTTTTAGACAACTGAGTGCTTCCAAAATGCTTTTTAAAAGTGTGTGTTTTAGTAGATGAGGGAGTCTACCTGTAATTTCATTAGTACTCTTCATTTTTTAAGGGGTCAGACAAATGGTAAACTTCATGTTAGCATTGCCATGAAATCATAGTTTTAAAATATTTTACTGTTATTTCAGTTGTAAAATTTGCTGTGATTAACAATTACTGCTGCTGATACATGAAAATATTTGTTCCTTGCATATTAAATTGCAGAAATTATTTTTTGTCATACTGTGATAGCATTTATAGAGACTGAGAAGTCTGTGTCCAAAGACCACAGGTAATTGATAATTAACTGTATTATTTTTGAATCTAGAGTATAATTTAGCCAAGAGATAATGTTGACAAAATAGTCATTATTTCATCATAGGCATTCACAATTTTTTCAAGATGTTTTAAACATATGTATGTCTCTCAGTCCCATCTCCTAGTAATGCAGTATTTATAATTTTCGTTCTTCTATTTTTCCGGGACAGCAGCCAAAGTAATAAGACCAGAGGTCACATGAAGTCTGGCAAGAGGTCTTTGCCTGCCCTTGGTCACAACCTTCTGCACCTGCTCTTTTCCAGGCTGCCAGGCCTCTGTAGGGAGTGGATGGAGCAGGGTGTTGTTTTGAGAGAAACTTAGCTCTTTCCCTTCTGTTACCAGTCATCAGTAAAGCATATCCAAGCTACCTTGATGGCCATACAGTCAGTAAATAATGGTAATCTAAAAAGAATAAAAATAATTCTTTTTAAAATCTACATTAAAGGTGGCATGTGTGTTTAGAGTAAAAGAGAATGAAGTTCAAGTGATTATGTGACCCAACCTCCTGACTTCTGAGGGCATGTTCTACTGAACAAATCTACTGTTTCATTCTATCCATCCTCTTACTCATTAAGGCAACAACGATTTATGTAATGCTTCCATGTGTCAGGTACCATGGATCATGGATCAGGCACCAGGGGTCAGGGATAGAGCAGTAAATAAGATAGGTAGAGTCTCAACCTCAGGGAACTCACAGTGTTGGTTTTATAATGTTCAAGGTCAAGGTACTGCCTTTTAGTCAACTGGGAACACTGCAGCTTTGAATCCAGTCCTAGAGCAAAAGACATTAAAATAAATTCCCAATTATAATTACAAAAATGAACACCCTACTAAGTACTACATTTTCCATGTTCAATCAATTCTAAAATGTTATCAATTTTAAGTTGTGTTTTGTTTTTAATGCCCACTAAAAAAGACACATGCTGCAAAGTAAACACTGAAATGATTTTTGAATGACAGTCTTACCTCTCAGCCTCTACTTTGAAATGTGTTTTATCTATTCCGAGAGATTGGCAAATTCCCCTGCTTTCAGTCGCGGCTTGGCCTGCAATAAGCATCTCTTTGCATGTATATCAGGTCCAAACTGTTCCACAACTTCACCTGCGTGGTCCTATAAAATGCTCTGCAAGACAAATGTGCATACGCATCGACCCACTGACAAAAATTCACTACTGTTGGGGTTTGCTCCCCATTGCTGTTTTTGTGCCTTGCTATATACACAGTAAATTTCTGCTCTGAGACCTCATCATAGGGTAATCTTCAAAAAGACTTCTTAAATCTTTTCAGTTCGAAATCATTTTAGACTTGCAAAAGTTCAAAATTAGTGCAAAGAATTCTAACTGCCCACCACATCTTGTCACACATGCTTTATCATTCTTACAAAGATACTGTAAGTGGCAGTACAGCTGCACGTGTGCACCACCACAGGGCGTGGTGCTCCTGGGAAGTGCTGGCAATGTGAAAGGTTAGGGTAGCGCTCCTGCCGGAGCCCGCAGCCAGCCCTGTGAAACGCCACTGCCCGCAAGGTGCTTTCTGGTTTCAGGGCGGTGGACAAATCCCAAAAATGTGCATCTTAGCTCAATGAAAGAATTGTGAACGCCATCAGTGATGCTATCACAGAATCCCAGTAGGAAGGGGAATTCTGGGTCAGCCAAATGAGCTACAGCAACACTCACTTCAGAAAGGTGAAGCGAAAGGCTTTGAGGATTCCCCTGCTCTTGAAAGACAGAGATACCCTTTAAAGCCCTGGATTTTTAAGAATGAGGCTACAATTACAACACAATTTTGAAATCTTGTGTTTTCTGATTCTCCTAAGTAGAGCACTGAATATCCAAAAACATACTTAGAAATTACCTATTCTAAAATAACTTAAAAAGGAGAAAAGATGAGTTATTTTCCTCTTGTGGACTTAGAAATTGTATTTTTCTATTTTCTAGAGTATATTTCATTAAGCAGTCAGTTTATATTTTAAAATTGTATTTTTTTCATTTTAATGCTTGTTATTTCTCTGTCCCATGCCTGAAATGAAGTTGCTAGCAGAGAATAAAGGAAAATCTATATACTCGGTTGGCTCAAATACTACCTCCTCTAAGATCTTCCCTTTTAATTCAGTGTGAGAAATGTGTTCTGTGGGCCTGGTATTGAAAACTGGTGTGCTGTATGCCAGTTCTGCAGGCCTATTTTGTTTGGCTTAAGTATTAACATACAAAACTTTAAATATCACATAAAACATCCAGACATCTGATACCAGTTGAAACAGATCTGACCACACTGGGCTTGTATTTGTGTGACACAAATCAGCTAGATCTGTGTATTGGCTTCTGCCTTGATACAGGTAATAGACTCCCCAGGTTTTCTCAGTCCCCACCATGCCTACTGCCTACTACCTGGTCTGTTTCACTCATTTACATTGCTTAGACTCCTGTAGAATTTTTTGGTGTTTGCTGCTATGGTTTTCTGCCTTTCCCTTACATCTCCCGGGGTTTCCTTAGCATCTTCATTCAGTCAAGCTCCTCCTTTTTAGGCCTCCTTGTTGTTTCTGGTTCCTGATTTTCCATCGCTTCTCGGTTCTCTCACACATTGAGGTTTGTAGCCCTGGAGCTGTCTTCAACTCCTTCAATCTTGCTGTCCCCACCCCCACACATATTTTTCTTTTTTTTTTTTCCTGCTCCCTTTTCTTGCCTCCAAAAAAGGAACAGGAGAATCTATAAGAAAGCCAAAGCCAAACCTAGATCATTTGGTGATGTTATGCTCCTTACAGAGTCTCCATGGGAGAAAGCAGTGTAACATTCACACTCATCTCAAAGAAAAGAGCATGCGTTGGTCAGAATTATACAGACCATGGTTTTCTGGTTGGTTTAGCTATGTTTTTTAAAGTGTTTGTCTTGTCTAACAAACTGAATTCATTTATTGATTTATCACTAATTCATTTCCCTATGAGTTAATAACTGAGTCAGTATGATGCCCGTCCAAAACAAAGACTTGTGCAGGCTTATCTCTTCTTGACACATGTATGATTTTCTTTCATCTTTAAAAGTTTTGTGGTCTACTCACTGCCACCCCTCTAAATGAGTATTTATACTTTTTACTGAGATAAAATCCCATCTGCAACAACTATTTAATTCACTGACGCCATCTGCATTTGAATCACATGCAAGCTTCAGTGCCAGTAAAGCAATATAACTCTTTTACCATCCATTCAGTTTGGTTTTGGGCTCACATATGTGTATCTGAGCTGCTTGCAGCCAGTCGCCTGAAGGGCTAAATTTAGCCAGGGCTAAATTTCTCCTTTGGAAAGACCAGTATAATAATATCATAAGTAATGTAGTTAGCCAAAAGACTGCATGACACATTAGCACTTGTTACAATCACAAAATGTAGGATTAGAGACTCCTGAGTCTTCCTATCTGGCCATTTCTTCTTTGCCTTGTTTTATGAGGTTATCTTTCTCTTTAACTTGTTTCTCTGGATTCTATCCTGCAAAGGGATAAATTGCAAAAAGTTTCTCTTTCCCGTGTTACCATCTTTTATCTTCTTTACCTTTGTTTCAGTTCTCACATAACCTTACATCATCTGCCTTTCCCTTAGATCTCCCGGGGTTTCCTTAGCATCTTCATTCAGTCAAGCTCCTCCTTTTTAGGCCTCCTTGTTGTTTCTGGTTCCCAATTTTCCATCGCTTCTCGGTTCTCTCACACATTGAGGTTTGTAGCCCTGGAGTTGTCTTCAACTCCTTCAATCTTGCTGTCCCCACCCCCACACATATTTTTCTTTTTTTTTTTTCCTGCTCCCTTTTCTTGCCTCCAAAAAAGGAACAGGAGAATCTATAAGAAAGCCAAAGCCAAACCTAGATCATTTGGTGATGTTATGCTCCTTACAGAGTCTCCATGGGAGAAAGCAGTGTAACATTCACACTCATCTCAAAGAAAAGAGCATGCGTTGGTCAGAATTATACAGACCAGGAACAGCATTTCCCTAAACCTATTGGAGAAAAGAGTTTTTGATTCAACTATTCTAAACTAAATGATGGTGTTTCTCAAATTTTAGCCTGCATCAAAACCAACTGGGAGGCAAAGTACAGATTACGGAGCCCATTTCTGGAGTTTCTGGTTCAGAAGGTCTTGAATGGGATCTGAGAACTTGCATCTCTGACCAATTCCATCATGATTCTGATGCAGGTTTTTTAGACATCGCACTTTGACAATCATGACTCTGTGATATCCACTGCGAACCACATCTGATATTTTTCCTGAAGGGCTTTCCTTTCCTGGCTTCATACCACCCTCTGCTCAAACTACCTTGGCTGAAATAGCACTTTTTACCCACAAAAAAGAAACAAAACAAAACATCAGTCATGAATATTTTTCTGTTGCACCTCCATCACCCTTCATCTGTGCCCGTCTTACAGCATCTCCCACATTCTGCTCCCTGCTAGCAGGTCAGTTCTGAGCTCCTCTAGGCAGGTCTCCCTCATCTCCATCCTGGACACCCACTGAGGTGTTGACCCAGAGCAGGAGCTCAACTCGAGGGGGCTGAGTGTACTAACTCCTGGTGAAATGGGTCTTCCCGTCCTGCCCACCTGCCCCCAGTGTCTGGGAGTGTGTGTGTGTATGTGCATGTTGTAATGCTAAACATCCACAGTTTTTAACCAAAACTGTTTTTAACCAACAACTGAAAAGCGGATAGGGCCTCCTAACAGTACTGCAAGTTGATTCTCACCTGTTAGAAAGTTTTGTATTTTTACAACATCCCATCTAGCTATTCTTTTCCTTTAAGGTTTTCGTCTTTTGTCTTTTGTGTTCTTCCTAGAAATAGCCTCTTTTGAAGATTTTTTTAAATGTTTGTCTATCTTTTCTTGATGCTTCTGTAGTTTTTGCTTTAAAAAAATATTCCATATTAGAGATTAATTAAAGAGTTAAATTTTAGAGATTCAGTAGGAAGGAAGACTGCTCTATTTCTTTTCCAAATAGCTAATTAATGATTATTTAGTCACTTATTCCACTTCTCCCAGTGCTCCAACCTACCAACTTGATCTATTTTAAGTATGTCCATATGTCTCTGGGTTTACTATCTGGGGTCAGTGCCACAGTTTACTTTTTAAAAAATTTTTATTAATTTGGAACCTTTCCTTGCATACATTGGGGATAATATTTATATAAATTGCTTTTTTTTCCATTCAACAATATACACAACACATTGTTTTAATTATGTATTGCAGTTTTGCAGTTATAGTTTTTTGTTGAACAACGTGGGCATTGCAAGCACAGATGCCCAGTACCATCAAAAATCTGCAAATAATGTTTGCCTCCCCAAAACCATAACTGATAGCATCCTGTTGACTGGGAAGCCTTACTGATAACATAAGCAGTCGATTAATAGCATGTTTTGTAATATGTATTATATACTGTATTCTTACAAGAAAGTAAGCTAGAGAAAGAAAAAGTTGTTTCAAATTGTTGCACATCTCCAAAAAATTTCCCAGTGTATTTATTGAAAAAAAAATGTGCATATTGAAAAAATATATGCAAAAAAATCTGAACCCGTACAGTTCAAACCCATGTTGTTCAAGAGTCATCTGTGTTTGAATACAGTTGGCATTGTATTTTTTGCTCATTGGTGTTCTCCACTGTTGGTGTTCTCTATGGGTGAGCGCTCCTAAAAGTGAGCTCACCCCCCTCCCCTCCTGATAGTCTGGCACTAGGGAGGGAGAGGGTCAGAAGCACGTGGAGGACCCCTTGGTTTGAAGGCTGGGCAGGAGGCAGCAGCCTATCAGAGGTCCTCTGTGGTGGGCAGGGTGTTAGGAAATCTTTCCAGCCCAAGGTCACAGGCAGAGACCTGGATGCGAGAAGGGCCATGGTAAGTAGATGGCCAGAATGGGCACGTTGGCCAGTGGACATGGGCAATAGTAGAAACATTCTTACTCCTAATTCTAGCAATGCCAAGTGTTCTCTAGATTTCCTCAGCATCCTCTGGAAGATACATCCGTGATGGATGAGTCACCCTCCCAAGATGAAACACCGCTTTAAACCCTTTAGGAACTTGCCTCATCTTTAAATGGTTCCTATGAAGCAAAACTAAGAGTCAATTCGCTCTCAGACTCCTGCTGCTCTTTTGTGATTCTTCTGCCCTGGGATAGGGGTGGGGTCTCTGAATTAGAAGTGTGCTTCAAAGAGGAAAGAACAGTTTTTAAAAGAAGATCTATTTCATATTCATGTGGTGGTATTTTTTTGGTGGCTAAGGCATGGATACTGAACTCAAGCAGATCTGGGTTCAAATCCTGCTCTGCTGTCGCCTGTGTGGGAAATCACTGTCCTTTCTGAGCCTGTTCCCTCTCTACGAGGCTGCTGTAGGATGAAATGAGAAAATGTTTTTGAAGTAAATGTTAATGTTGATTACTAACTTAACATTAATCCTTAAACTAGCTTTGTGAATTAGATACTGTTACTATCATTTTGCAGCTAAGAGTTAATGCCCAACAGCACACACACAACTGGTAAGTGCTAGGAGCAAGATTTGAACCAGGCCGACTCCAGCACCTCCCCTTTTGTCCTTGTGGTACACTTCAGCCCAGTGCCTGGCACCAGGAAATGCCCAACAAATGGTGGCTGTGGTGGTGATGGTTGTTTCAGCATGATTTGGGGGGCTCTCTGGCCAAAATTCCTGATCCATTCTGCATCCTTAGAGGCACGTAAATGTCATTTCGCTGTAAAGCTCTTGGATTAATTCTTTCCCTTTTCTTTAAACGCTTAAATCACAGGTGCAGGTACCAAAAGAACTGGCGTAAGAGGCAGCAGCGTAACCCAGAAGAACAAGGCTCTGAACAATGACTCTTGGGTTGGAGCTCAGAGATTATTTCAGCAGCACACTTCTGGATCCAGGAGGTGGAACTGGGAACAAAGCCAGTATATGATCGGGGTGCTTTGTGACAGGCAGAATGCTTGGCCCATGACAAAATAGGGGCTAAAAAGGAAAGGGGAAGGAGATGAAATAATATTCAGGGGCAACATTTTCTACTTCCAATCAGTTTCACTAATGCAAGTGAAATTCAGTCATGTTTCCAACAGCAGAAATTAAGAAAAAGGTTTTTTCGTAAATGTTTGCTGTTGCTCTCTCCTGGTAAATAATAAATACTGTAGTGGTGTTAACTATTAGATTCCCATTTTTTCTCCTTCCATCTCCTCTGTTGTGATTCATCACACTTGTATTTTAAAGGGAACAAATCATGTTTGGCTATATGGAAATATGAAGGGTGAACAGAGTTCCAGTTTCTTCTGATGTTTTCAAGAATTGTTAATCAGCATTTCTCTGGATAATCCATTGAGATTTACAGTTTCCAACCCTGCCTGGCTTTCTCTCTCGGCCATTCCCATGGACCGCCTACTTCTGTAAGGGGTATCTAGGAGCGCAGAACTCTTAAGCCTCAGGATGTAGAGAAAACACCAAGAGTTTCCAGAAAAGTAACAGGAAACACAAACACTGCATATATATATATATATAAACTTTCCTGTTTCCACACCTATAGGGACAATGGGTGACAGTGTGCTAGATTCGTAAAAAAATTTATAAATAAGAGAAGCTTTTGGCTTTAGCTACCTGTTTATTGTTTTGTTGTTGTTTTTTAAGCTTAGTCTGTAAATCTAATTTGAACTTTAATCTCAAGTCTTATAAAGGAAACTTGCTGTAGGATCAAACTTAAATTCCTTTTCCTATCATTCAAGGCCCTATTGCCTGTTCCCAATTTAGTGATCCAGTCTTACTCACCACAGATGCTTTAGAGACAGCTTCCTCATAAACACCCTACCCTGGGCCTTTGCTCTCATTGGCCCTTGTACAGAACATCCCCAAGACTTCCCTCCTGCTCTGTTTGAAAGTCCTACCACACTTCAAAGCCCAGGTCAAGCCCCAGTTCTCCACAAAAACCTTCCGGAAAACACCAACCCCCAGTGGGCTTTCCTTCTCTTAGGTTCCTAGAGCCCTTGATGATCTGTCTTAGTTACTATGTGCATAGGATCTGAAATACTGTGTACAAAAGGCGTGAACCCTAGAAATCAGGAAATCATACTTGGGTGCTTTTTCTCTCTTTATCTGAGCAAATAATGGGAATCTGCCTGCTTTCTCCTCTTACAGAATCACAGGTGGTGCATAACAAGCAAAACAGGTTAGGAGAACGGACCTAACAGTGACAGCCTAATGCGTTACTTGGAAGAACAAGCCATTGGGAAGAAATATGGTTTTTCTATTTTTACAAGATAAGCTGGTGTGTACAATGGTATTCAAATTTAAATACTTACAGTTTTCAATCAAGTGATTAATGTTAGAATAGCCAATGGCCGAGTTTTGTTTTTTCCTACTTAGTATTTCTCTAAAACATTCTTGCATACAAAGCAGGATAGTTATGAAAGGGCTGTAGTAAATTAAAGTCTTAGGTATCCAGCATATTCTATAGAATTTAGCTATGAAGCTAAATTCTGATAGGATAAAATGCCATAAACATGTTTAAAAACTTAATGTGTATTAGTAGTTGAGAACTTGGAAAGCTCTACACATTTACTTGTACAACCACAGTGTTTCACAGTATTGTACAGCCACAAGAATTTCAAAAATTTGCAAAATGAAAAGATGATCCAATTCATAGCTGACTGCCTTAGTACACAGGTTTTGTCAAGAGATACAAGTATACTATTCATTAGCTTTTTCTGTCTACCCACTCCAACCTTAAAAATCTCACTTGAAGATTTTAACTTGTTTTTAAAGTGTAAATAGTTTACAGCATTTACATGCTGCATTCTTCTATTATGCTCCTTCCAGAATTGACCCCCAACCATTAGTAATTATAAGTATATATTTTTATTCAAGTTGTCATTTTCTCCAAATTTCTTGCATTTAATCTGCAAAATTCACCATATAGAAAATAGAAGGGGCTAATATGTGTATAAACCCAATTCATATTTTAAAAAAGGATCCCATTGGAATTCAGTTTTATGCTGGCTGGAATGATAAAGTATTAAAGTTGTAATAATAGTATAGTAGGACCCCCCACCCTTTATCTACACAGGATATATTCCAAGACCCAGTGGGTGCCTCAAACTGTGGATAGTACTGAACCCTGTATATACTATGTTTTTTCCTAGACATACATGCCTATGATTGTTTAATTTTATAAATTAGGCACAGCAAGAAATTAACAATAATAAAATTGAAAAATTATAATATACTGTAATAAAGTTATGTGAATGTGGTCTCTCTCAAAATATCTTATGGTTCTGCACTCACCCTTCTTGTGATGTCGTGAGCTGATAAAATGCCTGTGTGAGATGAAGTGAGGTGGGCGACACAGGCCCTGCGACTTAGTGTTAGCCTGCTATTGACCTGATGAGGCGGATGTATCAGGAGGACGATCCTCTGCTGCCAGACTGAGGTCCACTACAGGTAACTGAAACAGTGGAAAGCAAAACCACCGGCAAGGGGGCACTACTGTATTTGAAACACAAGCTGTATTTTGCTGTGTAGTACATCCCTGTGGTTTAAAGGGTTGCCACCAAGTTTCTCAGATATTTAACAGAGGTGTGCATTAAATAAAGTCTCACAAAAGTACCTTTGATAAATTTTATTCTTCATATTTGGGTAAGGGTACAAATTCCAGACAATGTCTGTAAAGTCATGGTGACACCGCCATGCTAGAGATCAAGGCTGCAAGGTCAGCTGAGAAAATACAAGAAAAATCAGCAGCATTTTCTGTTGCTTTGTGATTCTAGGACGTACAGAGTCTCTTCAGTAAGTACTGCTTCAGTTGTCTTCATAATTCAGTGTTAGGAGAACCTAAATGTTTTCTATTCATCTATGAAATCAATTGGCAAGCAAACGTTTTGCATAATGTTTCTAAACACATGAGAAATAAAAGGTAGAATGTAACAGAATATATTAATTCATGTTGTCTTAATTCTAATGTCTGTCTATAGAAACATGACTGTAGCAGTTGCTATCTAAATGTCTATGCACTGCAGAAGCCACTGATTAACTCCCATTTTCACTGACGTGTTTAATAGTCTTTTTGCCTGGTCATCTACAGGTGCTTTTCAGATTCCCAGAGGACAGCTATTATCGTCTCTTTGGGCCTCTAAGAAATTTACAAAACACACATTCATTTCCTTCTCTCCAAATGCTCCAGTTAAAAACTAAAAACAGTCAAAATATGGGAAACATTATCTTGGACGCTTTCTCATCATTGTAACAACAGAAATGTGCGATATAAACAGAAGTCAAGTTTTGTTTTGTTTTATTTTTTTAACAAGACTGCCAAGAATAATACAGATTACATGGCTATGACCTCCTTAAAGGAGACACTTAGTTTGCAGCAAACATCTGCTAGTGAAAACACATCACTAGCATTTCAAAAACTTGGAAAATTTGCCAAAATATTCTCCTAAACAGCTATCTTTATATTTGTAAACAAAGTATACAGAAGGGGTTTGTCCAGTTTGCACTGCACATCAAACAGGCGCAAAGTGATAGAGATCATCTCAAAAAGAAAAATAATAAAAACTAAACTAATTTGTACATATTATAACCCTAGGGAATATATTTGGAGGAGGAGGCTGGAAGGTGATTAAAACAGGCTAATTCATGACATAATCTACTTTTTCAAACTTTCCACTACCCATATTGCCTTGATACTTTATAGTTCCTTTTTTTCCCTACAAGATCAGTATTGTTGTACCATCTATAATTTTTCTTCTTTTATTTCCCTAAAGAAGTAATTGTGATCCATTTCCTATCAATTTTCATAAACACACTTGGAGCTTCAGACATAAAAGGAGGTGGTCTCTTTCAGTTTCAGAGGACCTCTCTCTATAACATTAGAGATGTTAACAGTTGGCCTAAGTGCATGCTGCCATAGATAGTTGGATGTTACTTGCACCTCCTGTTTCAGAAACACAAATGGAAAGTTGAACAAAAAGGTCTGAACAAGGGCAAACTGCAACTTGATTTCTGCTGTAGCCCTGTCCCCAGGGCAGCTCTATTTATTCCTTCACTTTACTGATATAGTCGGTAAATTTGCTGATGTTTTCTTCCTGCTGTTCTAGGGCATCCAGGACAATGCCCATTGGCGTCTTCTTCAAACCCATTACCTCCATTTTATTCTCCACTTTGTTCTTGAGGTTCCGAAGTCTCAGCGACGCATGGACAAACATCACTGCAGAGAAGTGAAACATGGTTAGTACCAAAGCAACAGTTATCTTCTCCATATCAACATTATACTCCTGTCTTCACACTTCTAGTCATCTGTTTCAGTTAGCTATGGTCCAATCTGGTTCTCTAATTGATCCAAGTTCCCAAGTGGATCCTTGAACTTTATATAAAGCTCTTTGTCAAGTCATAGTTTTCTTTGTGGCTGAAGGAAAACATTGTATTCAGTAGAAAGGTCCATAATGTGGTACCCATGCTCTTCAGTTCCTACATTGCTATCATTACCTTTCAGCTGTTACTGAAATGCCCCAGAATTCAAACCGAATCAGTGTCTTTCCAATTTACATAAAAATCGCCTTACACAAAGTCTTCCAGAGAGGAACTCATGTTCAGCTCAAGGATTACTCTACCTTGTTCCCTACAGGAGGCACGCAGGCGGAGTCCACCTGGGAGTTGCCTCTAGAAGCAGTTTTCCAAAGGGCTGGATATAGATTTATAGATAGAAAGTGAAGATTTTATAGATCTGATGCACCCTAGTGTTCCCCAAATTTGCTTCATCATTAAGAATTGCCCAAGTTTGCTTATTAAGAAACAGATTCCCTAGCTGCTCTGCTGGACTTCCTGAATCAGAACCTTAAAGGGGTGGGCCTGCGAATCTACATTTAAACAGGTCCCCCAGGTGATGTACACCAGCACTTTTCAAACTTCCAAGTGCATACAAATTTCCTGGAGCACTGGTTAAATAGCAAATCCTGGTCTCCACTACCCAAAATTCAGACTTTTAAGTCTGAGCTAGGACTCTAGATTGCAAAGTTTCAGCATTCACTCTGGACGATTCTGATACAGGTAATCACGGACAGTCATTTTGAGAAACACAGATATGCATTCTACCTGGAGGCTCCCAACCCAGACTGGCCATTAGAAACATTCGGGAAGCTTTCTAAAACTACAGGTTCTTTGGGCAACACTTCTAACCCACAGAACCAAGATCTCCAAGGGCTGTGGCTGGGAAAATAATATTTTTAAAAAGCATCCTGGGCAATTCTCACAGTCATCAAATTTGGGAATCAACTGATCTTGTCTAAGTTCCTTATTTTATAGACAAGTGAACTATATTTGGATAACTGGTCCAAATCACATGGCTGAACAGATCTAGGAATAGAAATCAGGACCCTTCACTCTCTACCTGTGATTCATTTCAGGTTATACTGGTCCATCTCAGGCTCTGATGTTGAAAGATACTGAAGCAACAAGCCGTGTCTAAGCAGAATCCCTGAAATATGAATCCTCTTGACAAATACTTCAAAAGTCTGAATTTGATGACTCAAATATTTTGTCCAGTAAGGTGTGGGATTCATCCATAAATATTCTGGGCTGAATCTAACATGACCCCAATTCCATTTCATTGATGGAATAACTGCACATATGAAATGGTATTAAAAGCTAAAGGGATGCTCCCCTCACTTAATACACTAAAATTTTAATCAGATTTCTGATGAGACTGGAATTTGTTATTGTCTCTATTTTAGGCCTCCAGTGTTTGGAACCTCAGGAAACAATGCATGTGAAATTTAGAAGGTATCTGGTTGTCACCAGAATTGGAGTACTTGGTATCTATGTTCTGGGCCAATTATTCCTATAAACCTATGAAACTTCTCACACTAATTATGATCTTCTGAGTAAGCAGAGAGTAAACAGTTAACTTCCAAGTGAGATACATTCATTCCTGTGTCAGGAGAGGATGAATGGCACTTAAAATTGAGAACAGACTCTAATACCGGACAACTTTGAAGTCTAGTGCAGGCTATGCAACCTCCTTGCTGTAGGACCTGGGACTTTATTTTATTCACCGTTGTGTTCCCAGCAGAGTGTCTGGCACAGAAGGTGCCCTATACATCCTTGTGAAATTAATGGACTACTCGGCCTTGATCTGCTGTTTCAGAAGATGCTGATAACATTGCAGACATGGCAACACACTTGAGAAGCAAGCTATGTAATTTCCATTGAACAACTGCTCCTCTATTCTTAATAAGAAAAGAAGGCTCAGGTCACTTACACAACAAAGGGAAAGTGATGCCAAACACAAAGACCATGACTCCCCCGAACATAGATATGAGGAAGTAGCTGGCCAGCATGACCGCCATGACGAATGTAGTGGGGTAGTGCTTCTTCATGCGGCGCAGGATGTCTTTGTTGTGGGCTGCCCACACGAACACCGTGAACACCAGCACCACCACGGTTCCTCCGAGGATCATGTTAAAGGGGCTCAGGAACCTGGAACACAGGGGAACAAAGAGGGAGGCTAGGCCACCAGCAGTAACAGTAGGAAAGGGAAGAGGAGGAAGGGAAGGAGGAGGAAAAATAAGTGTTGAGTTTTTATCTAAATTGTCTCATTTAATCCTCGTAACCTGGTGAGGTGGATACTTTTCATTCATTTCTCAAATGCAGAATCTTAGAGGTGAGAACATGATGGGAGTTGGACTCCCACCAAATTACCAGCCCTTTTCACTAGAGCCCCACAATGTTAAAAGACTTTTAAAATTTTGGAGGAGCTGTGTTAAGCTTTCCTACACCCTGGGCTCTAGTGCACATTACATTTTGTGAGCTCTACAGGCTTATGTAAATGCTCAGGGAAGCTGCCATGATAGGTGAATGTAGAGCAGGTCACACAGTGGCCTCCATGGGCCAAATCCAGTCTACAATCACGTTTGTGTTTGGACTGTATAGTGTTCTTAAAAAACTTTTACTTGAATCCCAATGTGTTAAAAAAAAAAAAACATAAAACTTGGGATTTCTTGCTTCTGGAAACAAGGAAGTCTACCCAATGCTAGGCCGTCTCTTCCTCCTGTCACCTGGCTGGAGTGCCTTCTCACTCAGAACAAAGGCTCTCCATTCAGGCCCTGGCCCCTTCGCCAGCTGGTGCATCTGATACCAAGGCACCCGGTGACTGGCCACTCGTCACTGTTTTTCTAATAGCTGACCTGCATCATTCTCTGAAATAACCAGCCTGGCCCATGGCGGCATTTGAGTTTATGACTCCTAACACAGAGAGTCCATTATAATTATTTTAAAGGGCCCAGAGTATCATTAGGAGATGGATTATCACTGAGATTTCCACCAAGCCTTCAGATTTATTATTACATGAGCCAAAGGTTATACTACTGTTGATAATCAGGGAAACATTATCAAGAGGAAATTTAGACCAAGTATTTCATAAGTGAGAATTGGCATTATAGACCTCCCACCCCAACACACTGTGTATATGAAATCTTAACAAGGCATTTGTGGTGAGCAAGTACGAGTTACAAACTTTACCCTCACAAGAGGGTAACAGCATTTTATTAATGAAGGACAAACAGGGTCAGTGTGTGTTTGTCAGGCTCTGGTGTCACATAACTGATTTGGAAATTAAGGACATAGGAAGACAGGATAACGGAAGGTGATGCCATAAGCTTGTTTTCTCTGCAGTAGAATAAATGAAGGATTCATACTCATATTGGGATTCATATTTAGGATAACTAAGATTCTCTTTAAAAAATCCTTTTAAAGTTTAGCTCTGATTCTGCCTCCTGAAACACAAAAACTATTCTAAAATAGTTTCAAATAGTAGTGAAAGTGCTGCATGTCTTAATGGGTGAGATCAGGGATAAAATCAATGTCGGTTTTGAAAAAGTTAAGAATATTAAAATGCATAGAGTTAAACAGCGGGAAGAGTAGTAGTACATAATTTAAAATTAAGCCCTATAATAATAAGTAGCTTATTTCATTCAAAACTCTTGCAAAAATATAGCCTTCAAGGTAATAAATCTCCTTGACTGAATAGTAACATAGTTCACAGGAGTCGTATTTATGATTAAAAACTCTTAGAAACAACCTATATGGCTAACACTTCACTAGATGGCGGTATACCCAGCTATTTTTAAGTTGAAGTATTCTTCATAATATGAGAACTCGTGAATAGCAAGTGGATAAAAGCAAGTATAATACATTCTTTTAGGTGGATTTATCATACATGACATAAAGCTCAGAAGTATAAATGTTTACAATTAGTATATTATTTTGTAATCAGAAATAAAATGTGCATATTTAAAAATATATGAAAATATGAAAGCAACTTGCTCCCTAGCCTATGACCCAGACTTGGCACAGGCCAGCGACCACCGTCCATCTTTACTTCCATCATCTCTCCAATAACATTAATGCAATTTCAGTGCATTTGCCACAGGAAAGCTGTAACTTCTCCCACTCAAACCTCAGGTCCCTGCCGGTTCCCCAGGTCCCCTGGTGGCCAGTGGGCCCTCTCCCCAACACGCCAGCTTTCCCAGTGTCCAGCACACACAGTATTCTGTCTGTTCTCCTCTCTTTGTTCTTCATTATCTGAGTCCACTTAGTCTCTGTACTTTTTTCTGTTTTAAAATTGTATCTAGGTCCTGATTTAATCCCAGAATTGATCTGGAAAGACAAAAATGTCCTTATAGGCCTGGGGAAGGGAAGAATTGGACAGGGCACAACCAAAATCCTCTTCAGCAGGTGGCGGGGAACCTGCGTGCAGAGGCCCAGAAACTCTGCCAGATTAATACATTTTATTCATAGCACCAAGATTCTGAGAGAAATTATACCAAAAGACTACGGTAGTTATACTGGGTAGTGGGATCATGAGCAGTTTATTCCCATTTGCTTATTTCTGTTTTCATATTTTTTCAGTAGCCATATTTTTCATTACCTTAATAAGAAAAAGTTGATAATAAAAAGAACAAATGAAACTGGGGGAAGGTGCCTGAAAGAAACAAACCCTTTGACATAGCCTGACGGTGACCGAGAACCCACCCAAATATTTCAGAGCTGTGAAGAAAAGCGGAGAACATAAACTCGAAGAACTAAGTGAAGGGTGCAAACTCCTCTGTGTAAGCCGCAAACAGGAGACAGGTGGTCGGCAGCAAAGTGTCAAAGGGCTCCTACTGCACTGATTCTAGAACACCTACTGGAATAATTCATGAGGTGAAGCATATAATAAAATGCACACCAAGATTTTTCTATTTTCCTGTGGACAAGTAAAATAGATGTCTAGGTTGAATATATAAATAAAGCCCAGGACAAAAAGCAATGAAAAATCCAGGCCTGACTCAGGCAATTCCAAATTCGCTTTTCACCTGTTCCTGTTGCTCACGGCCAAGGGAAAAGAACAGAGCAGAGTCCTATAGGTTTTAGCTTACAATGTGCCCAGCCACCGTCTATAATTAGAAAGTAACTAAGTTTCCAAGATGGGAAAAATGAACAAAGTTCCTGAGAGCAGAAATGATTTTCTTCCTTATTCTCATGTGCAATTCCATTCTAACAAATAGTGACGCGCTTGCCACTCCAGTGCCCTGGCACCTACCTACACTCGGAGCAAAATAAAACACACACACCACCCTTCAGAGATTAATTTCATTTTCCATTGAGTGCAGGAATTTGGGAACTAGTCCTTCTCCATGATGAGTAGAGCTTTCAGTCAACAGCTGGGCTCTTAGTCATGCCCATCGCAATGAAACCCAAGAACCTTTAAGATAAAACGTCCATAAATACACCACCCCAGCTTTTGTGGTGACAGTTGCTACTGGACTCCTATGGGTGGGGTTTCATTTGCTGGGAGTGGTGAATGAGAAAGGGAGGGAGGGAGGAAGAGAGGCAGGAAGACAGACCAGAGGAGGGCAGGGAAGGGAGACAGGAGAGAGGGGAAGAAGGGAGAGAGAGGGAGAACAAATAGAACTTTCTGTCCTTTGTGGAAATAGGATCTAGTTCTACAAATCAAAAATATTAAATATGCTTTTCTATTGTGAGATAAAACCTTCTACCTATCTACATACATATCTTATTCCATAAATAATAGTTAAAAATTCTGGTGGGATCACTAGTGGTTATAAAAAGGTTTAGGATCCCAGTATAAAATCCTGCAGCAGAGTCTTCAAAGATGTATCAGTTTAGTCCCATTGGGCAGACGAATAAATTAAGGCATACAGAAGTGAAGCAATGTATTCAAAGGGATCCAGGGGAGAAAAAAGGGTGCCAGTTGATAGAACTGTGACAGCAATTCACAGCAGAACCCACTCTGTGTTGTCAACCAGCTTTAGGAATTCCCCCTGCAACTGAGTAACCCCATTCTTCCAGTTGGGTAAGCAACTAAGACCATTCTGGGAAATCCCTCCTCACTCTGTTTTCTTTCTGAAAGAAGCTGGCTGTTGGAGTGTGTGGACACACGTCATAGTTGTGCCACTATGATTCAGCTAGGTCTAGCTATATTTTCAGCACAACTTGCTGAAGGAAAAAAAAAATCTTGGTCAATTGCAGAATTTTTGAGCTAGGATGGATCTTGAAATGCTCCTCAACCTACCTATTAGCAAGCTAAGAAATAGGTAAGTTAATAAATTTGTCCCAAGGCCACCAGCCACAGACTTGGCAATAAAGGCTTTTCAAAACAGAGCTCCACAAATCAAGTGAACATTGGGTAACGCCTGTCATGCTGCAGTGCCAACATGAACCAAAAAGGCAGTGAATTATTTTCTGAGCAGTAGAAGCAGCTTTGCACTGAGTTCCAATTTTCAAACCCAAAAGGCTATTTTTGTAGCTTGGTTCCTGAGGAAGCCTGACTCATCAAGAAAGGGGGAACAGTTTACTCAGAGTGGACTTCTCTAAATGGCTGATGTTTCTCTGTGGTCCTTAACTATCCAGAGGGATCACTGCAAATTTGAACCCACCCATCCATTTTCTGATTTCTCACTGCTCTTAGAATAAAAACAGAATCCTTTACATTCCGCAAGGCCCCATGAGACCTGGCCCCTGGCATGGGCCACTGCATGCAGTGGTGTGGGGAGTTTGCGCCTGGCTCGGCAGGGGCGGTGAGTGGGGCCTGAAATCCAGGCCAGCTTAGCTCGCCAGGCCTGCAATTCAGCCTAGGCTGCATCTGCAGGAGTAAGGGGCAGTTTTAATAATGAATATGAGGGAGCCTAGGGAGGAGCCACAGCGCTGCCTGCCAGTTCTTTCATACCACCTCCCCCAGATTCTGCAGTCCACTTGCTGGGGTTTCTATCTCTACCGTTCACCCTGCCTCTGGCCATCTCAGGTCTGTGCACGATCTGTTCTCTCCCTGATTCACTCCTACCTCCTTCAAATCTCAGCTTCATCAGCCTTTTCTGAGTCTCCCTGACCACATCATAGCACCATGTGCCTCTCCTCACAGCCCTCATCACAGTGGTGCTCTTACATTCATTTGACTGAGCCCTGGAGGCATGTTTCTG